CCGATCCATGCAATGCTAGAACGTCTCCTTACAAATTCTCTCAAAATCTCCTCTCCAATCTCTCCAAAAGGGTAGAAATCTACATTTCTATTCCTATTCTAAAAACCCTAAAATTTCTCCACACTTTTCCTAACATTCCTCTCACAAAAAAAACCCCTCTTTTTTAACCTAAATTCATTCTTTTAAAGTGTAGGGATGAAGTTTGAAGAGTTGTCACAAGAGTCCTTTCAAAAATCGTCCAAGTACGTTGAATTTCGGCCCATAACTACCAAAAGTCGGTCCATAATCGTCTCGGGAGCCGTCGACGAGCTCGAGGGCGCCGTCGGCGAGCTTTTCTATCATTTTTTGGTCTTCTTGGGTAAATCTCACCTTCGGCGCTGTTTTAGGCGCCGTCGGGGAGCAGACTGCGCAGCTCCACCGTTTGGCTCCGTTTGGCTCGATTTTAGCTCTGTTTCGCCCCATTTCAGTTGCGTTGTGTTCCTAACAGATAGCTCTACAAAATAAGCATGAAAACAACTTTTATTCAAAGTGTAAATTAATTCAAAAATAAGTAAGGAGTGTAAAAAAGATTAAGCATCGAAAGACTTATCGAAATGTGATATGACAAAATTTCATTTCTTGCTCGTTTTGCTCCAAATTGCACCATTTTTGTATCTTTTTGCTTCAATGACCATAATTCATCATACATGAAACAAAAAAAATACCCTTCTTTAATGTGCAATATCATCAAAAAAAGTATAAAATAGGTATGAAAATCTCAACATATTTTTCTTCGGTCATTGAGCTAAGCATATCTCAGGCTCCAAGAGAGCCCTTACTAATAACTCTCTAATTTCTTTAAAGAGGATCAAGGCATTGTAAATGCTCAATTTTGCTAATAGTTTCCTCAAATGGGCTAAAAAATTGTAGTCCACTATGTTATAAGATTTCTTTGTTATTTTTCTGAGTTGGCCTCTCTTCTATCGGCGAAATTTCTTCTTCGGGCATGACCATTTGTTTTCATTTTTCTTTGTGAGATATACTTAGAGGCAAAACTTTTCTACTTCATAAATTGACTTCAGTTATCTCTTCTTACTTTTGTGAGTGCTTCGACGGACTATTCCAAGACTATTTCAGAGTCAGATGATTCCAACTCTATGGAAGTTGGCGCTCCTTGCAGCTCAATTATGGCGATGTCTTCTAATTTGTTTTTTGTTGTTGTAGTCATCATCATCATCATCATTTTTATTTTTATTATCATTTTCTTTGTTGTTAGACCCATCGAGATTTTGTACGATTTGAGAGTTGTCTATGAGATCGAAATTGGATTGGTTGTTGTCAGAGCCATCATCATTAGAAATTGACACAACGTAACCAAAATTAAAACTCTTAGCATTAAAATAACCCCAGGGAGAAAAAAAAAACTCATGCAGAGTCAGTGGATTGAGGGCTTTCTTCCCCAAACCCGTGACAACCAATTTAGAAAGACAACTAGAGATAGAAGAAACAGACGAAACAAAAAGAATAACCTCTATGCTACAAAAAACTTCGATCCTCTCAACTTTGCTTTCTTTTTTTCTTATTTCTTGCTATTTTCTTTCTTTGGAAGTAAAGGCTTCGTTTATGGGTTTGATGCCAATGTCGAGGCAGTCTGCATCTTATTGAGGATCTTCTTGGAAGACTTGGCCCATGATATGCTCGATCCATCTTTATCTTGGAAGAGGTTCACAGGGCAAATTCAACAACCGAGACCATGTTGATCGAACACTTTTTGGGCTCTTTCAAGTACTCGTTTGGAATGACTGTGTTACCTGTCTTGAGGTTGTACTCTAGCCAGTCTTTGAAGAAGAAAGAATCTTCAATTTTTTGTCCAAGCATCCTGTGATAGACAAAATAGTTGGGTTGATCTTTCTTTCCAACTTCTTATGGCTTTGTGGCCTTAGATGGTTTGAATTCAGGTATCTTTAACAGATTGTGAAATATGTTTGCAATGATCGATGGTGGTTGGCAACTACGAAGGTCAAAAGTTATCAACAAATTTTCGGTCCAAAACAACACTTGAATTCAACTCATTCTTCTTCCCCCTCAAAGTAAAGAGTGAATTTATTTGTAAACTCTAAGTGTCATTTTGATACTTTTACAAGTAACTCTTGTGAACACCTGATAAGACGACTTATATTGATCTATCTTCATCATAAGTTTTTTTTTATTATTATTAATACAAGTCTTAATGACCTCAAAACTAGGCAGGCTTAAGCTTGTTGAACTCCTTCGGTTGAGACGCAATTTGACTATAAGTAGATCAAATTTAAAGTTTATTTGATCATTCAAGTAATGATATGAAGCCTCTAATTGTGCTTTAATGACTTAATTTGGACTTAATTGAACTCAAATTGAATCAATTTTAATATCATCAGATCCTTCTTATCGAGACAATCAATTTAACTATGAGCTTATTCAATGGAATGTTTCTTGTTCAAAAATACCTCATGATTCGTGCAAAATGATAAAACTTATTATGATGGTCAATTACATAAAGACATATAACTATTATTAACATTTTAAGAATGATTTGCATCTTTTCTTATATAAGTTTATGACACAAAATATCATAAATATAAATCAAAAACTTCGCATGCTACATGTGTAAATACATAAAAATTGTGGTATGTGTTTAACTTTCCGGCTTAATTACAGAATTTCTTGAGTGTTTTTAAATCTTGCTAGAGGTCGAGAGCTACAGTAATGAAGCAGTTGCCCATAAAAATTCATAACTAGAGTCCATCTTATCATTAATGAAAAGACTTGGATACAATTCTATCTAAACTGTCACTACAAACAGCTGAACTTCATCATTTTAATATATATTTTGAATTTTTTTAAAAAATATATTAAGGTTCCATAAATAAAAAGCATGTAAACAGAGAGGCAGAGACGACACATTTTTGACTCCAGGCTCTCTTAAAGCTCAAACTCATGAACTATTGTAAAAATATTACGTGCGGACAAGCTAATTGCCGATTATATGGGATAGTATTTCGGGGATACCAGCTTAATACACCGATCCACACATACAGATACCGCATGTAATACTCGCTCCATTTCTGACCACATAAAATCCTCTTAACTCTCAGAGATTGCTTAAATTTGACCTGTGCTGTTCTTCCAGAGACAAAATTCCACGTCGTCTTTGTTCTCCGACTTTAGACACATCAGTGCTTTGTTTGAACAAGTAGCCGTTATATTAAATCTAGAAAGATGAGCCAAACTCATATCCTTTCTCTATTGATCAACTTCAGGAGGAACAGGTGCAGGTGGGACTAATAATCTTCCAATTCCCATATACTCCTCAGCAAATTCTTCATTGTTTTTTCCAAGCATATCTTTCAAGCTGCATGCGATGTTTCGGCTTTTCAGTACCCAGAATCTTGGTTTTATTTTTTTGTCCAGACTATAGCTGAAATAACGTGGATATTCCACAATCTCCTTTAAAGGCTTCTGCATAATTGTCTGCAGGAATTCAAGTTTTGGTTTGAAAACAGCTTCAATACTGTATCCTAATAGAGGAGAAAATCTGGAGACCATGGAGGAAACCTCTTCCTTCGACAGCCCAATATCCATCAGATATCTCATCCTGCACTTGAACCATATAACATGCATGTCGTGGTTAACAAATTCTAGTTGCTACTGCCATTAAAACTGTAAAGATAAAAGTTTATAGAACCAAAATAACAGAATATACAACATTTTTACGGGAACCATTGTGAAGATAAAATTGGTTATCACCATCCTCCTCAAATGATATTTGGCAAGGAATAGAATGCCAGAATAATTTCAATTTATAGAAAGCTATGAAGAGAAACAATCAAAAGATCTCGACATTTCGTATCTTCCTAATAAGGGTGATAAGGAGTCTGTTTGAGGATCTAATCTCAACTTAAAAATTAAGGATTCACTTCCAAAAGGATCCATTTCAGGTTGACTTTCAAGCAGGTTTGAGCCAACCAGATTTTTCTCGAGAATACATTTTTAAACTAAAGTTAAATTTATTATTGTATATAAAAATACAGATTGTGCATGCATGCACACATATATTACTTCTATAAATTTGTTGAAATACTGGATAAACATAGTTAAATAACTGTGCAGATATGCATTAAAATTGTGAGCACATAAATACAAATATTCATGCTTAAGCACTTGTGTATGCATATTTGTGTGAATGTAAATATGTATACAACAACGTATGTAAGTGTGCACATGTATATTTAGAAAGAAAGATATATACATTCATGTGTTGAATATATATATATATATA